AAGGAGCGGATAATGTTGGGAGGCCTTCAAGCGTAGCCCGTTTCTTACTGCAAACGTACGCTTCATGCTGCAATGGAACTGACGATCTGGCGTAGGAATTTTGAAAAAGTGCTATGCGACTTGAAACTTCTGCACGTCCCGCAGGTGACAGGTTAGGTGCGGCATTTAGTTTAGTACGTAAGGGCCTTCCTAACATCAGCTCCGCTGGCGTTCTACCGATAGCCCTGTGATCACAAGTTCTGTGAAAAGATACAACAGTTAAGACAGTGTCTCCCTTGTCCGACCCCTCTAATTGGGTGGTCGGTATAGCTTTCTTGAGGGATCGGTCTAGCCGCTTAACCATGCCATTATGCGCAGAATTGTAAGGTACAATTCCGGAATGTTTTACGTTTTACGTGGCACTGGAGGAAAACAGGAAAGCCGTGGCTACAAAAAATGTGGTCCACTGACTGAGACTATTTCTTCCGGTAATGAGAAACGACTGAAAAGTGGTTAAACCAGTGGTACACATGTGGACTTCAGGCCACTTGTTGTAAGAACATGTAGCCACAACTAGAGTTCTCATATTCGTAAGAGCGGTGGCAAAAGCACTCATAATATCAATGGCGATCTTAACCCAAGACATCATCGAGTAAGTAATAGGCTGTATTGGGCTTGGACTGGTAGAGAACTTTCGTCCGCAAGGTGACAAGAGCTACAGTTCATCACAAATGCTACTTGCGGCCACCAAAAGTAGTGTTTCGCCCCGTTGTTGGTCCGAACAATACCCGGATGTCCCTCATGTGAACAAACAGGTATTTTGCTTACAAACTGACGCGGAGCCATAAACATCAAACTAGCCATAGGACAAGTATTTATCGCTGACAGTTCATCCCGAATTGCGTAATAAGAATGAACTCACCAGGGACTTCGTTGTTCCCAGTTCACCTATGTTGCTTAGTTGATGTAGTAACAGGTCGTTGGTAATTAACACCCGTAGATCATCGATCGTCAAGGTAGTTACGCCGAAGACAAGGCTGGAAACCAATATTGCCTCACTGAGTCTCTCCTTATTATTTTCCCGTCTAAACGAGACTAGACCTTAAAGTGGTGTGACGGTTCGCGTACCTCCTTGACCCAGTGAGCAATAGTGGGTGATGCTTCCGGGCACCTTGAGAGCTACTTCCACAAGGTTGGTCAATGGTGGGATGTCAGACAAACTCAGCCTCCTGATCCTTCAGGATGGGGTATGAAAACGGAATAACGTCCATTTCAATAAAACGAAATTACTGCCACCTCCCGCTGTCCTGCGGACAGGTATTTGAGCCAAAGGCATTGGTTGAGGATAATAATCGTTCAACTGTCAGGGCCTAAGTACCCTGGAAGTATCACAGCCCACATATAAGCATGACAATTTCCCCAAACTCCAAATGCGTCCCGCATCGCAGACGTGCAGATTATCAAGGGTCGCCTTAGCGCCTGCATAAAGCGGGGAGGAAAAGCGAAAACACGATAATGCTGGCGATTCCCTTCTTTCTTTTTCACCAGTTTTTCGCACTCCTATTCCGACCCCCCATTCCTAATCTTCCTTACATAATTCTCAGCATAATTGACAGCAACCGAAGTGCCACTGGAGTGGAACCATTTGCCGCCATCTTTCCGCAACACCCACAGGACGTCTAACGGCAACAGTCCCATGTAAGACCACACTGTCCCATTTCTATAGCGACTTTCAATGTTCGCATGCTGGACACACTAGATATTGACATGTGCTGTGTGTCCGAAACTCGGATCAACGATCCTAATGGGGTTGTTGAATTAACTGCGCCCGGCTTGTCCTCTCGCTATTGGTTGCACGCATCCAGAGACGCTGGTGCAGCACTCACCGGTCAAGCTGAGGTAAGTATCATTCAGTCCCAAGGCTGAGCCACCCGTGAGTAGCTGTTTCTGAGCAACCCCAATGACGACATCGACCAAGGTTAATACACTAAGTAGTACAAAACATTGCTTGTTTGTGATTTGCGCTGATGCTCCCACCGACTGCAGTTCTGATGCTGACAAGGACGCATTCTACTGCGGACTAAACGTACTACTACGCAGTGCCACTAGTTCAGATACTATGGAACAATACCTGCAGGAGAGATGAACGCATAAGTAGAGCGTCTGAGCTCATCAAAAGCTCAGCTAGGTTTAACTTAGAACGGGAAGCGTTTGTTGCAATTGTGTACGGAGCACCAGTTGTTTCTTAGTAGCAACGCTTTCAGACACGGACTAAATAAACGTAATTACATTATCAGCCAAGCAAAGCATGTGACTACTGCACATTATGGTCTGACCCCTGGAGGGCACAGCTTTCAGCCAGGACTAGAAATATATCTATAGTTAATAATTAAATTACGAACCGAGGCCCAATATACTTACATTCTGTTTTGATTTTTTGTAGTGTAAATTTTTAGTGTCTCATCTCTTTTGTATTGCGGCGCACTACCTGAGGTGTGTTGCTCATCCTCAGCTAACGTGTACCGATGGTGATGATGATGATTACATTTCACAGAGTGCCACCGAAGTAAAGATTTGATGTGATCATTATTTCGCAGAGTCCTGAGGATGCAGCTCTTTTCCCTTTCCAAAACGTTGAGACCATAAAATTAGCTAGCGTGATAACTCATGCAACAAAATAAGTTCCGTTTGGACCGCAAAAGTGCAGAGATAGAAGGCGTGTGTATCGAAATTCCCGTAGGCCACTGTAATGCCAGTGGGAGGATTTGACAGCGAAAATCCAGCGGCTTCACATCTCACATAAGAATATATGTTACAACGCTGTGCCCGCAATCAACCGGTTGATTCACGCCTGCTGCTAAATCTGCGCCCTTACACGTGCTCCGTTTGACGACTTGGCATCCGACAGGAAGGAAGACACAAGAAGACTCAGCAGATCAGAGTTGTATTAGGACAGAGAACGCTCATATTTATATGTCGGTCTCACCAACTCTCCAAATATCACCAGGAGCATTTGGCTGTAAGCCCATACTCCACACATCCTTTTCCGCTACGTCTGACCAGACCACCGTCTTGCACGGCCACTCCATTCTTCGTCCGCCTACCCGGTGCATGGCAACGCACGTGATGTCTGACGCGCAATTTCATCAGCACCTGGGCACGTCTTGGCAACACGCCTGCTGCCTGATCCGCGATTTCATCAGCTTTCGGCTGGGCCCTGGCAACACGCTCGCAGGGACTTTCGTAATCACGATTTGTGGCAAAAACGCGAGCGATGGCAATCAGCTTGCTCGCGCAGCTGCCAATATCACGAAGACTTCTGCGCCACTTAACTCCTAACAAACGTACTAGGTAGTAATATTCGAGTACTGGAGCTATTTGATTAACGCAAGTTCGGTTCGCCGGTTCGGTTTCCTCATACCCTTCAGCAGCAATCTTCGAATTAGGACCATGATACAGGTATTCATCGACGGTATGCCACGCAGCCTGATCGATTGTCCACACGTCCTCAAAGGAGATTCACATCCACCGTGAGAAGAATCTGATGCGATCATGAGAAAGTGCATCTAGCCTCTGATGCTCAATCTAAGTATATGCAACCTGCGAATAAACAGTGGATCACTTAGAGTGCCATATCAAAACATATCAAGGAGATTGACTCACAAAATAGTGATTGCAAGTTAACGCCGCCAAAGCCAGGAGTGCGAAGCGCACTTCACAGACAGCATACAAACAACGATTGCGGATTAATGCGCATCTGCAAATCACTGGTGCTCATGTGATCATTGCAACCATAATAACTGCCCGTCAGATTACAGAAAATAACAGCCAAACTCAGTTGCACTAATTCGATCAGTACAGCAAAGACGCATCCACACAATGCAAACGAGACTCAAAAAAATCACAAGTGCAACCGTCTGTACTAACAGATCTACCGAAAACTGAGCTGTGCCACTAGACATCCTTGAACATAGGCTAGACACAAACCGACACTTAAGGGTTACATGGGTTTGCAAGTAGTAACGGCGGGCAAAGCAATGAGTAAATGTCGAAAATCGAAGCAAGCACTTCTTTCAGGAACCGCACCTGCAACTAACGAGAAGAGTCGTCTGCGGAAGGGACTGCTTCAAAAGTAATCAGCCATTTGGATGATGTAAGCATCCATTCGGTCGGTGCCGGTTGCATTGATCAAGACACACGTGCATCACTGAACGGTGCTATCTGGGTAGTATGTAAATGTCGGCAACAGTGTATGAACGGAACTATAAGATCCTCTTGCCAAGAATGAAAATGCACAAAGGCAAATCTTCCGGTCCACTGGAACCACTCAGCCCTCCGGCCGGATGCTGCGAGTCTGTCGGTGATATGTAATGAGTGGCTGATAGGCAGCGCAGTACGAAAACGTGATGTCTTATTCGAGGTTTGCTGAATCACAATCACCAACACGATAGGCAAAATGCATAGCGTTAAGCCGATCAGCATATTGATTCAACCGCACACGATCCATCGTCTTGCGATCGGAGACTTACACCAAGCATAAATAGGTAATGAATAATGCATACATTTGCCAAAGACGCGAGTGACCACTCAAATTTCGCGACCAACTTCGCCCAAATGAATAAGCAGAGAGAGAAGGTGAGGGTGTGTGTGTGCGTGTGTGGACGGTGGCTGCCCAGTTTGCAATTGGTTCGCAAACGCCTCGCAATCAAATAAGGTAGCATCAACAGTGTGCAGCGCACTGACTTACTCAATGAGTAGTCTGGTTATCCGAAGTCACTAGCACAAGGAAGCACAGATTCAAAAATGGCGTTCAACAGAACCACGTCAAAACCAACAGGTAGCATCACGTGAGATAGAATGCCAGACGCTAAGAGGCTGATGAAATTCAGCAGAATAACCGTGAACACATTTGGAATAATGGAAAACATATAACGCTTTGAAAAAATACTCACTTAAATGCACTCCTTCAATATGTCTTCGTAATGCAGCGCCCAGAGAAAAGAGTCTGTCACAATGCTCACATCTGTAGGGCTGTTTCTCTGCAACGGTAAATAAAGCTATGTCAGTAACAATAAAAGAAGTAAAGAAAAGATTAAGACAGAAACGAAGTGCTTACAAATCAATCGCTAATCAGCGACATGCTGAAAATTGAAATCCCACTGTGACCAGTAGCGTAAATTAGACTGTGGTTCGGATGTTATTCCGATAACCAACACAACCACGCTAGTTGCGCGTGTAGGGCGAGTAGAGTGAGAACTTACGGCAACCAATCGCCGCCCTCCTACACATCCGACAGTGTAGCAGAGAGGCAGCCACTGTCACCTTTCCTTTTTGACTTCTTTGCTGACAAAGTTATGGAAACTGCATTCATCAAAAACAGATAAGGTGTGGAGCTGCTCCCAAATGGACGACTGATTTGAAGTATGCAACCGATACATCTCTCATTTGTAAAAGCTTACAAACGTGTCAATGAGCAATGGGCAAATTAGCACTGGCTGTCAGTCGTCTAGTACATCGCTTCTTACCCCTGCAAAGCGCAAATCACTACTATAGCATTGGCAGTGACCGCCCCCTGCGCCCATACCACCGTGGTGATAAGCCAGAAATCGTTGACAGATTCAACAACATGGGCAGCTGTTTCAGCGTAAGTGGCAACGGAGATCCCGAAACGTAGAGCCAACGCTCGAGCTGCTTCTGCTAGCCTTCGCCACATATGCCGTAGCTATGACATCACTATCGCCCTGAAGGATTCAGCGTACTGTTTAGCACCACTGTAGGGTTGTGAAACTTGGCCCATAAAATCGACAAACGTGAAGAACCTAGCCCATTTCGACCAACAGTGCTTTCGCAGTTTCGCATGCATCTGGCAGAAACACCGTGCGAACAATACTCGCCTTCTGCGTCATGTTTATGGCGCAAGAAGGGATTGCGGTCTCACTGTGCCGAATGCCAATGTACATAAGATCCTAATAAAAAAACATACCAAAAACAGCGACGAAGCTAGACTCTCCAGTTAGCGATCTCATCTAAAATCACGAACGATACCCACCCCAGCTTAACCAGAGGCTGTCGCATCCGCATCTCCAGACGCGTGTAATCAACGGCGAGAGGACAACCCAGTCTCAGTTCATTCAACAACGCTATGAGGGCCAGTCATCCTAGTTTCCGACACACAGCACACATCAATACCCAGTGTGTCCAACCTGCGTGGGAGCACAGGGTGTGGACCAATTTATCTTATAGTGCGAACGTCGAATGCCGCCAGGGAAACGGAACAGTGTGGCCTTATAAGGGACAGTTGATGATAGGCAACTACAATTGCTTCGACTCCAGTGCCAATACAGCTGCTGTCAATTAAGCTGGGATTGAGAGAAGGAAGGTTAGTAATCGGAGTATGAATGGGAGTAAGAGACATTGTCCAGGGGGTCGCATTTCCTCTGTGGCAGGTAGTTTAATGTCAGGATTGGTGACGCCAGATCTAGTAGGTGCACTGCTTATAGCGAGGTGCCCCCGATTTCAATGCTAGGGAAGTTGTTGAGACTGCGACAGACTGTATTTGGAAGCAAGTAGAAAGGTTTCTGTGCAACTCCAGCTAATTATGAAAAAGCAAAAACATTTAATTCGTAGCGTCAATGATAGTGTTTGGTCAGTTAATCCTTTGTCTTGTTCGGTTAGGAATTCGTATTGGTGTCATTATTTCCGGGTATAGGATGGATTTCTTCCATTGTATGTACACCGTTTCACAAAAGCACAGACTTCCGAAATAATCGTCGATACGTGTTTTAAAACACTTCACAGAATCGGCCTCTATTAGTCCTTCTGGTAGTGTATTCCATAAGTTTACGATTCTTCGTTCTATACAAAGCTGATGTGATACCTTGTTCATGCAGGGGACCCTGAGTTTGTAACGGTGTCCTCGGGTGTTACAGGGTTCCCGCAGGTGAAATATTGGCCGCAGTATGGGGAAGTGATTCAAGTGTAGTATTCGATGGGTCATAATAAGGTCAATTCTTACTCGGCGGTAGGATAGTGTGTAGAGTCCGAGCCTTTCACAACGTTTTCATACGGAAGCTTTCGTAGACTGGGTATCATTCTAGTTGCGATGTGCTGTATTTTCTCCAGCTTTTCAGTTTCCCACTGGGTTATCGGATGGTAAGCTGGGGCGCCGTATTCAAGGATTGGTCTAATGAGCGAGGTGAATAGGCGAGGGACGGTTTCTTCGGACCATGTGGAGAAACTGCGTCGTAATGCCCAGAGCATACGAAGTCCCGCACGGTACAATTTCTCTGTATTTTCTAGTGATCTCATATCATGTCGCGAGAGCACTCCTAAGTCTCTGACAGATGTGTTAGGGTGGAGCAACTGGCCGTCCAAGGTGTATGATCGAGTGGCTGGACGTCTGGTGATACTGATGAACTCCGACTTGCTTGCGTTAAGAGGGAGTTGCATTTCAGTGGACCACGTTGACAGTCGATCTAAGTCATGCTGGAGGCGAGCGCAGTCGTCCTGGTTCTCAATGATCCTCCAGATTTTCAAATCATCTGCAAACAGGGCACATGGTGACTGGAGCTGCTGCGGAAGATCGTTGATATGAATAAGAAATAATACTGGCCCAAGTACAGTTCCTTGAGGCACGCCACTGGTCGATGGAACCAGTCTGTCAGGTAGTCATTGACCTGTACTCTAAACTTTCGTCCCACAATAAACTCGTGTAACCACTGAAGTAGCGTGCCACCGATTCCGTAGGTCCTCAGTTTACGAAGGAGTACCTCGTGGTTCACTCTGTCAAACGCCTTACTAAAGTCGATGTACACCACGTCAACATCCTTCCGTTCGTTGAGAGCTCGTACCCACTGGTGGTTTGCGTACATCAAGTTGGTGATGCAGGATCGCCCTTTCGTAAAGCCGTGTTGCGCTGGCGTCAATACGTCCATCGATTCGAAGAACGACAGCAGACACTTTTCACAACCTTCTCGAGAACTTTGGATAATATCGAAGTCAAACAGATCGGTCTATAGTTCTCTACTTTACTCGGATCACCACCCTTGGGAAGCGGTCTCACTATCGAGCATTTCCAGTCGTTGGGGACAGATCCTTCAGAGAGTGATTTATTGAATAGGTTTGTCACGGCTGGTGAGATGACATTCGATAGGGACTTGAGTATTAGTGGGTGAAGTCCGTCTGGTCCGGGGGGCTTTGCACCATCGAGGTTGACGAGTAGCTGATACACTTCGACTGCATCACATTGTAGGCTGTCGAGCAAGACTGGCGCAACCTGTGCCGGTACTGGAACAGCCGCCGGTTTACTGGAAAATACGGTGAGGAAGTGCGTAGCCAAGGCGTCCGCGCGCTCCGCGCTTGAAATGAGCGTTTGTCCGTTCAATCTCTCTAAGACCGGTAAGTCGCCCCCGGGTTTCAGTTGAGGTTTCAAGTAGGCAAATATTCTTTTGGGTGCAGTTGTGGCCGAGGATGCTAGCTCCTCTTCGAACTGCCGGCGTTTCTTGATCATTGCGGCGTTACATAAGTTACGCTGTTTCTTGTACACCGTGTAATCTTCATCACAACCCGAGCTGATGTACCTATCCCAAAGGTTGCGACGCCGTCGCGTTATCTATATTCCTTATCAAACCAATGCGGTTTGACAGGTCCGACTTTTGAATACTTCAGAGAAACGAACCGAGTACACAGCGAGTTAAATTTCCCCTTCATTAATGACCAACAGGTCTCAAGCAACGCATTCTGTGGTAGTGTCCAATCATTCTGATTTGCGGCTTGGACGGGCCCTTTGAAGTCCGTCTTCCAATAGTTGAATGTCGGCTTCCGTTGGTTGTAATACGGTAACGGCAGTTCTATGCATGCCACAATGGAGCAGTGGTTACTGTTCGCCAGAGGTTCGAGGACTCTGATCTCTTTCAGCTTCTGCTTGCAGCTCGGAAACATTAGGTCCAGACAAGCTGGCTAGTGCAATGCCATGCGCGTCAGTTGGATGACATGTTGCATTGCCCCGATTGCAATAGTCATTTTAGCGAACTGAGCCTCAACGTCGCCATGACCGGGAAGAATCCGAACGTCTGGCCAAAATATCTTAGGTAAATTTAGATCCCTCATCAGTAAGAAATGAGGGCAGCTCATGTGCTTCTGTATATGTGGTAACCAATCGCAACAACGGTTTAATGGGCTACGGTAGACAACACCCACTATTAGTTCTGTGAGTCTGAGGCGGATTGTGCACCACAATTGCTCACAAAAGTTATCCTCGTTCCGATAAGTGCTGGTACATTTGCAAGATAGTGACGAGTTTCTGTACAACAAAACATCACCGTGAGCCTTTGATTTTCGGACGCATTGGAAACAAGAGTATCCAGACAACGCGACTTCGTGGAGTATGACGTCGGAGTTCAGCCAAGTCACTGCAAGTCCTAAAACGTCCGGCCTCCCCGAGACAGCGAGGCTACATAGTTCGTCACGTTTGTTCTTTGATGGTACACGTTGGTAAATACCACACTGACGTATTGGGAGGTACCGGGGGGACGTGTCTCGAGGTTGAGCAACCGATTGATACGGGTTCGTACACTTTTCTTGATCACCCGAAAATTTACAATTTGTAAGTCAGCACGACGTTTCAACTCAATGATTGCAGTCTTCAAATGATCCCTGATCTCGAGTTCCAAGTCTCGGCGGATGTAAACCATTATGTCTTACAATCATGAGGGATGGGACAATATGAGCTGCAGCACAATGTTCATCGCAATGAGGCTGGACCTTACCGTGGTACAATAGTCTGTGTGCCTCAGTGATCCATGGAGCAACGCTAGGTGGTGCTTTTTTTGTCCCTTCAGAGGCACTCATACCAGCTTGGTCAATGAGTCGATGCCAGATAAACTCAGCCTCCTGGTCCTACAGGTTGGGTGTCGGAATGAGGGTGGTTAATTATTCCTTAAAACGGACTCCTTCTAATCAAACGACAAACCCGCTGCCTTGTGGTCAGGATTTTCAAGCAAAAACTTTGGTTGATAACCCTAATCGTTCTCCTGTCTAG